TCCTCTCAGGCTGACTGCTACCCCTATTCCTACGGTTGCTTCCATTGCTAGGTTGCGTGGAGCATGGCGTTGATTTACGTCGATCGTTCCTGAAATTGGCCAGTGGCCGACTATCAGTAAATTTTTGAGATGATAACATGGCATGCAATCAAAAATAAACTGGAGATGTATTTGTGAAGAAATGTGACCCTCATGGGATACTTTCGGAATCATTGAACGAATAAACCGTACCTTGGGTTATGTTCATGGTTTGTCTCAGTTCTACGCTGATTACTCTCAGTTCCACGCCTAATCCTCTGCCCACGGTCATTGTTATTACCGTGTTGTGAAAACAGTGCCATGATTCTCATTCGTAATAGGCGCAGCTAAAAATTAAGGATCTGAGGGGCATGAGCTCTGAACATTCGTTGATGTATTTGCGAGTATTTTACTGTCTTGAGTTCTCAACATCCCATTATTTTTTCTTTTTTTCTTCCACATCACAACATTCGCTTTTGTTTTATCAGCATCATTATACACGGTTTATATTCGAAGGAACAAAAATCATTCTTGTTACATTAGCGTTTACCGAATGGCCAAACGAAGTTCATAAATTGACAATAATAAAGCAACGAAGCAGTTGCAATGACTCAACGACTGAATAAATCCACAGTGTCCGTAAATCTCCCGTCTTGTGAGCACAATCAAAATCACATACCTCATTGAGAAAAGCCCACCATGGAATCATCGTGAGGAAATATGCAACGAAAGCGATAAGCCCTGAAAATATGAGAAGTTTGAATTCTTCATAACTGATAATTAAACATTTTTGAATGGTAATGCGTCGTAAGCTTTTGAGGATTTTGAGGATTGTCATTTTATTAACGACGAAAGGGGGATTTCAACTCAGATTTTTCTCTTTAGAGTACGTTGAAATTTCCGACAGGTAGTCTGAAAAGTTGGTTTCAAAATGCCTTAAAGATCAGATTCACATACCCATCGTGGGATCTCCGTGAAATATCGCTATCGCTACTGACAGAACGGCAATAACTTGGCCGGTAGTTCTCCAACTCAGCATGCCTATGAAGAAAAATCAAATTAGTTCATAATCGCCAATGTTGATCACAAAAATTCCATTGAAAATATTCAGCACAATTCACTCGCATTCGAAGTATGACAGTCCTCCAAAAGAATATCACACATCGCTTCGCAATCGACAAAAAGAGTTTGGTATTTTGAAATACAGCCTTATCAATTCATCATTCGTGTGCCTTTCATAAGATGAAAAACCCATAACTCTGCCTTGTGATTATGCTTGTTACGCTAATTTGTTCATCAGAAGATTTTTTTTCGGATTTCAACGTTTGCAGTTTCACAGCATTGCAGCATTGCGTGAGAGCATCATCAACAGTTGCTCCAACAGAAGGAAGTGAGACTTATCATGGAGGGAACAGGACCTTCTTGGACAAAGACGAGCCAATTAAGACTTGAAACTATAGATTCACATGGAAGCGCAAAAAATGAGGCGCTCAAATTGAGTGCACCATAATGAAGCAGAAAATGACGGAGGCAAGTTCGAATAAATTTTGTATGAAACTGATTAGACCAGAATCTGGATATCATCAATCGTAGGTTACGCCGCGGCCCAGAGATGAATCTCAGCTTAACACCAGATCTAGATATCAAACTCAGCCTAGGCTTATGTATGAACCTCACAAGGAAAAGCACAAACTTCCTAGACGAGATACACATATTTAAAAGTAATGAAAATCATTTGTTAATGCGCAACAAATACTTGGAGCTTTACCTTGGCCAGATACCGGAACCTGCACCCTTGGGCGTCCGGCATGATGTCTTTCCTGTGCCTAAAATATCTAATAAATGAAACTTATCAAAATCATCTGATTTGCTTAATTACACTTCTACTGCTACTGATGTTAGCCCAATGCACATGAATTTAAAACGGTACAAACATTGGTAACGTGCCACTGAATACTAATTAACCTTAAGTTCTGCGGATTGGTCCTCGATTTCACATTTCCACTCATTTTTGTGCTTTATGAACTGATTGTACTGTCTGCTCAATTTTGCATTCTTTCGCATTTTATTCAATTCATCGGTTATTTGACGCATATTATGTCGTGCTTCTGGCACCCTTTTCCAGCAATTTTTCATCAAGCTGAAATTCGTTCGGGTCGAAAAAACCGTTAAAATCATACGGACGGAGTTGTGATCAGTAACACCTCGACTAACCTTTCCACTGTTCTAAAACGATGTTCGTCACATGAACTGATGAAAACAAAATCAAAATCGCTATCAGTAAAATCGTACCGTTTAAATTCTACCGGACATTTTTTGGGTATGACCGGAGTCAGATGTTTGTCTGCAATCAGAGAAGCCACTCTGAGCTCATTTAGACTTTTATGGGGCACCTGCAATAGACACAAGGAAATGCAAAGAAGAAATATGATTGGAATATTGAAACATGGCTTGAAATATGATTCAATGTGTCATTGTGAATACCTCTCGTGTAAGCATTTCCCACAGAACAATTCCATAGCTCCAAACATCAGTTGCAATAGTGATCTTATTATTTTCATTGGCCAACAACATTTCAGGACTGAAAATTGACCAACAACAATGAAATAACAGAGATCTGGTATGGTGATGATCTTCAACGTATAATAAGCAGTTAACTTCAGGTGAAGATAAGCAATCAACGGCTGATCGACTGATAGTACTCACCTCATCCACCGAACCGTACCAGCTAAAGATGTCACTGTCGACCAATGTGTCGGATTCTTGGACCTGCCAAAATCGCACACTTTGCAATCACCTTCACCAGTCAAAACAATATTGTTTGACTTCAAGTCACGATGAATTATTCTTTTAGTAACCTTATAATGGAGATATTCAACTGCAGATGCTATCTGAACAAGAGCTTATTAATGCTGAAATCCGATAGGCACATTCAAAGAATTGTAAGTCGGGGGTTTGCACTTCCTATAGTATTTCTGAAACTCTCACGTGATGACGCTCAAAAATAAACGTTGCTGTCACTGAAACCGCTTATAAGTTATTGTTGGACCTCACAGTCAATAAATCCATCAACTTAAGCGTAAAAGCTCCATCAAATGACCTGATCCCCGTGGTCAATGAGGATTCAAATTTGAGATTCTCAGAGACTAAATAAATGAATGTATCTGACAATCAAAAAATGAGGATGTTTTGAATGCGAGATGGAAGTCGTATTCGAATGACGCGAAATTAAGTAACCTGTAAAGCCCATTTGGTAACTTGATAGAAATCGAGATCAGGGTTTTTCGGATCATGGAGATAGCTGTACAAAGAACCGCGCTCGGCTAATTCTGCAAGTTAATTTTGATAATATCGTCCGTCTGTTCTGCTAAAGTTTAGTAATGCCGATGAAACTGCGATTAAACACTGCCAACTATCTCGTTAGGATGTTACTTTATCAATATGCTACCAGACATGTGGAAGCAGAAAACACATTAAAATAATCCAATGCATAAACATTTCTTTTTAATAACCAATACCACTCAGTCTGACAATAGCTGGTGAGAAAGAATTTGATGATTTTAAATTTTGAAGCACCTAGAATGAAGTTTCGGTTCGAGTCAACCTTGGAAGTAACATAAAGTCTTTTCGATAAGATTAAAAATCTAGTTTTGTTACAGATTATTATTCCGATTTCAAAGAACGCCAAACCGACTGGCTGGCCACTTTTGATTATACGTTTTCACAGTAAACCGTTGCATGTCCGTTTCCTGTGTACCTAAAATGAATATCGAACGGGTGTGTAGCTCAGAATTACAAATTCGTAGCTAACCTGTCACAATAACGAAATCAGCAGCAGTTCTTGAAACTCCATAAAACTTGATTATGTTGGGATGCTCAGTTCCGGCTAAGATATCTGCCTGAAATGACCCAATATAGTGACATTCATTTTGACACGACATATTAAGCAGCCATGACGATTCAGTTTATGTGTTTTGAAGAACCGATAATGTTCTATTAAAAAGTGAGCGAACCTCTTTTTGGAGCTCAGATACTTTTTTCAAGGCAACGGTTAGCACTTTTCCTTTTGTGTTCCATTCTCCACGATAAACGGACCCAAATTTACCGCTGCCCAAATGCTCGCCGAATTTAAGCTCATTTGGAGCAATCCTCGGATATTTAGCAACAGAAGATCCGTCGTCTTCAACCGTGCGCGTAGAGCCATTCCTTTGATTTGCAGAAGCCTTAAGTGATTTAGAGTTCATTGCTCGCCGTTATTAGCACACACTTTGGTGGAATTCAAGCTGAAATTTAGTATTTATTGATTGTGAGCATGATTCCATAGTATTTGGATTATTCATATGTGCGTATCGTGGTGAACCAGAGTAAAATTGGATGATAAAAGATTGGAACGCTTCAAATGATCAAATAGGAGCACTTCGATTCGAGCACGAGGTTTCCGAATCATCGCAAAATGCTACAATCTCCACAGTTTGACCTCCAACAACTGCACATCGACAGTCAGGCGAAAACAAACTTGCGAAAATTAATCGCAGTCAAAATGTCCTAATAAGCCGATAGAGGCGAATATTTCCCCAAAGTATACTACGAAGAGTGATTCAATGCCATCTATCTCTTCGTGTGTGCTAACTTAAAGAAGATTTATAATCATTAAGATGGAATGATAAGCAGAAAATGATATTGAGTAGAACAGAAATTTGTGGTACAATGAAAACTGCATTGAAGGACTGGTGTTATATGCTCTAGGAATGAACTTATCAGCTTATCGGCGGCATCGGCTACGTGACTTTGTTATCATTCGATGCGGTGTGTTGCTCATTTTGTCTTTTCATGGGAACCATCACATAAAATCTTAGCATAATATGTGAACATCTTACACTCATTTGACGACGGCTGAATACTATCAAATGTCAGCGCACTGCAGTCAGATTTTCATAAGCATTCATCAGTGCTCTTTGCTAAAAAACCTAAAATATAGAAACTTTTATATCTGTTGAATGTTAGTAATAATTAGTAGCACTGATTATTAGGTCATTCTAATAAATCTACTTATGATCTTATAAATCAACCATAATGAATTAATCAATCCAAGTCTCACAAAACGTTCACATGAGATCAAACAACACTGATCAGCACAAGCCAAATGATAGTTATGATTGAAGGTCCTTACCCAACATCATGCGATTCAACCCAAACTAGATGACACATCCATTCCGTCAAGTCGTACCAATGTGTCACACAATGCGACCATTTTTGTATATTATTTTATGATTATAATATGACTCATTCCCATCGAAGCTTCGACATGTCACCCCACTTTTGAACTCGGCATTCTTTGTCACTGCTCCCAGTTTTTTTTCGCAGCATCGAAAGATGACAGTTTCAAATCGCTTGGGTCGAACAAATTGTTTCGAAACTATTGATAACTTAAAGTATTCAGTGCGTAGTAAGACACGATAAATTTTCATCCAGCAATGCCTGCGATCGACAAAAAGAATTTGGTTTTTTTTTTCAAAATAGGCTTATCAATTCATCACCTATATGCTGCTTACAAGGTAAACGGAATATATAGCTCTGTTATGTGGTCATGCTTATCTGTTCATCGTATGATTTTTTCTGATGATAATGTTCAATGCTTCATAGCATTGCAGCATCCAATCACAGCACCATCTGCATTGGTTCCAACGAATGGAAGCGAAACTTATCGCGAAGACAAGAGAACTTTTTTGGTCAAGGACTTGACATTGAAGCTTCACAACTGCAAATCATATGAAGCAATATTAAAGTTTTAAAATAATGACTGAAGGGAGAAAAAATGAGCTGTAAAAAGATGAAATTGAATATGAAATCGAAATGGATCCGAAAATGATGAAAGCATGCTCGAATATATTTTGTATGTAACTGATTACGTTAGAATCTCAAAGTCTCCGAAAACACATTGAACCACTCTATTTGAATGCAACAACATGATACATTTCCTGCTAATATTCAGTGTTCACGGAAAGTATCTCTCGTCAATTGTCATGAATGCACATTATTTGTCATTCTACTTATTCAGTTCACATTCGATAGGCCCATGGCTTCATGTAACATCAACAAACCGGATAGAGAATTCAGAGTAAAAATGGGGAATGTGAAGGCTTAGATAGGCCGGACAGAGATTATCCTTTCATTGAATCAAACACTGAATTCGGGTAATATTTATTTCATTATTCACCGATCATCTGATGCCGCAAAAATCTTGAGCAACTAGAATGAATATCCATGTGGTGCTGCAACAATATGGATACTAACAAGTTGCCTACTGCAATCACTTTTCCCTCATTGAAATTATTGGGTTGCTGCATAACTTCGTGCGCTTTTATTCAAACTGTATTACTCCGGCGAAAGTCCAGTTTTCCGGAGGAGTGTTATACACCAGTCGATAGCGTGTTTTCTGCTCTTCGCAACCACGGTCAACGATCTACTACAATTTTGTATCCTTTGGATCTTGAGCGTCACAAAATGAAGTGTCAAATGGACGAAAAAAGGCATTTTCGACAAGTGCTACTTTGTGCAATTACGGCTCAACGGTTGCTTGTGAAATTTGCACCGTATGCGGAGATGATACAGCGCTGATAAGAACAGCCTAGAAATGCTTTGTGAGGTTCGTGAAGGGCGAAGGACGTTGTGACGGGCCGGAAATATTAGCATAAATTCCAAATTTTCTTATGAATTCAAACTATTTACATCAATTGCCTGTCCCGGCTAGGTCAAGTCGTTCTTGCTTGAGTTTATTGTTCAATACCGCTTCTTTCATTCTTGCTATGTGCAATTATTAGCAGTCTGAATCTGGGTAATGCTCATGTTTTAGTTACAATTGCTCTATTAGTGTCATTATCGTTGTGTTTTGTGATGCCATCATCACATTGATAACAGGAATTAAATGCCCATGTTTCAGGTGAACTGTAAACGAGATTGCTGCTAAAGCAAGCTGATTTATCGAATCACTTCAAACCAATAACAATTGATATGCGCAGACAAAAATCACTTCAGCAATGGTGTTGGTATTGGATTATGTTTGTTTTCCTGATCGCCACTGTTTGTGTTGCTGATCGGAGCTGTTTGTGATGCTGACTGTGTTGTTGGTGCGAAGGCGACGATTAATAATTTAGTTTACCCACGCAAATAAATGAAGACGATAATAACGGTTGAATACAGTGAAGATGGTTGAGTGACGAAAGATGCCTTGGATGGCTCATAAACAACAACAACACTGGATACACGAACAACACACTGACTGACTAATACAGAGGAACTGATATAACCACACTGAGCTACTTATATAGTGATTGAGATTAGCTGATCACAAAACAACGGTCACGAGTTGCCAATAGGGGTCAAAGAAGACATGATATGCAAAGCAATATAGAGAGACATACAAGAAACCGTAAACAATAAACCAAAAATCATCGGTTTATCCCAACATCATCGTTCAGGCACCATCAAAATTAGATAAAACAAAGAAAAGAAACACTTACCATGAAGGAAAAAGTAGTTTTTTGGGTCAGGACGAGGCGTTTAAGCTTCACAATTGAAATATCATGCGAGCAATATGGAAGTATTAAAGCAATGACTGAAAGCGGAAGAAATGAGCTGCGAAAGGTGAAATCGAGTGTGTCAAAACGGATCAGAAAATGATGAAAGCATTCTCGAATACACCTTGTAGGAAATCGATCAAGTTGGAATCTAGAAATCCTCGAAAACACTTTCAACCACTTCATTTGTATGCAGCAACGTGATACGTTGATTGCGGCTATTCAATGTGAACTGGAAACACCATCTATCAACTGTCATAAATCCACATTTTTTCGTCATTCTGTTCATTCACTTCTTTATCCACAAGTGTACATCACAGTATAAAGTGGAACGTGAGAAATAATTTCATTACAAAGTAGTGTTTAAATTTGCACAACGTTTCCGGCAAATCATTCGTGAAAGCTATATTCGCTCAGAACGACCTGCTTTATGAAATCCCGAGAACCTTGGGATCAGAGTCGGGGATCAAGAGTCGTCGGCACGTAGGACATTTCAACTAACTTTCAAATACAATCTCTCCTCCCAATGTGCTTTCCTACAAGTCGAGAGTATACGGAATGCGACGAATGATGAACAGTGAGAGTGAAGAATCAAAGTGGTGAATATGGCAGCGTTCAAATAGTCAGGACAAAAATTTTCGATGTCGGATCAAACGTTCAATTCGGGAGATTTCCGATTCATTTTGGCACAAATCTTCTGCGGACATCATTTTCTCACGCTTCGGATCATTCACTGCAATAAAATACATAAAATACAACAACGAACATTACACAAACTCGAAAAGTAGGCCATTTTCGCCTCACGAGCGCTTGTCGGGAAACACCCGCGGGCAGCTCGTCCTCCTCGGCGGGGAGCAAATTGGACAAGGAGGGACCCCGTCAGGAAGCAACATGAACGCGGGGAGAAGGTGAGGGACCCTGATCGATCAAAAATTTGGGAAGGAAAATTGTCGGGAAATTGGTTCCGCAGCGGTAACCCCTTCCCCGACGAACACTAGACAACACCACTTACCCTTTCTCGATAACTGGCATCGCTGGGCAAAAATGATAACGAAATAGTATTGTTGAAGAAAGAGGTCGCAAACAGAATATGTTTTGGGTCACTCAATAAGTGAGCTTTACCTTGGGTTACGTTCATTCTTACTCGCAGTTTTACGCTGATCACTATTTCACTGATCACGGAACGATGCCGAGAGGGATAGATCGCGCCACCTCATTCGAAAATGGCTTAGCTAAAAATTAATTACAAAAATATCAGAAATGAATGAGCTCTGAACACTCATAAATAATTTGTCATTCATTATCATCTCTTGAGACCACTACTTATTCTCTTCTTTCGTGATATCACAATTCTCTCAGACATTTTGCCAGCGTTATCAATGTAACAAAAATCATTATTGATGCAGCAGCAGCGTTTAACGATTCTCACTTTGCTTACGAGTATGTATTTATATCACCGACTAAACTTGAGAATTTGACTGTCTTAAGCAGGGTTGCAGCTGCGCCTGCTCGGAGACCAAATGAATTCACTATCTCCGGAACTGTTCAGTCTTGTGAACATCATGAAATCCCATACCTTAGCAAGAAAATCCCCCCATGGAATCCGTATCAGAACGAATATGAGGAATGTGATGGTTCCTGAAAACGACAGAAATTTGCATTCATCACAACTGACTTTTGAACACATTTCAATACGCTAACGTATGACAGGCTTAAGTGCTGTCTTTTTGGTGAGGAGAACATTGACTTTTCCCTCTGAAAAC